TCCCCCTGGTATCCGTTTGCCTTTCCTGTAACCACCACGCGAGGAACTCCTCCCCGCTCACTGCAGCTCACGTCTGAGGTGTGCCGGGTACGCCTGGCATGCTGTCTCCAGATCACTTCCGCCCTCATTACCCACGCCGACCATCATTGTCCAGCCAATCTCTTCCCAGTGCACATCATGCTCCCACCCCTCTGTCTGCGAGGATAGTCTTCACTGCGCCACGCCATACCTTGACCTCCCGCTGCGCATGCTTCCTTCGCCGACCATTTCCCCCCTTCGCTCGCTGAAGTCCGAGCGCGTTCACCCGTACCAGCTCGCACGGCGTGTCGACCCTGCCTGCATTCCACTGCGAAAGGGGCTGGGTACACCTTGCGCGCCCCACCATACTGTCCCCCTTGTTCCCCCCTTCTGGCTTTCCCGTGGTCTGTCCTATATCCTGTCTCGGTCCCAGCTCCCAGGAGCTCATTCCTGGCCCTCAGCGGTACCTCTTCATTGCTGAGGGTTAGCACTCTTTGTACCCCTAGTACCAGGCCCAACACCCAGGCTATAACCGGACTGCAGTYGCTGGTCATGGGTTACTGGGAACCCGGGTCCACAGGTCTACAACARCGAGGGTACGGACTCTGTCCATGGATACCCAGCAATACCTGCGGCAGCACCGGGAACTCATACCACCGGTCCTAAGGCCTCAACCAAAAATAGCGGAGTGGCACACCGCAGCAACCTGCACCGTTACCGTACCGGTGACGAACTCGAAATAAACATCGAGGTCTACTATAATTTGCACCGTGTCGAGGATGGTTCAATACTGAACCTGTAGTACCGTTGCTGAAACAATATCTGAAAATAATGCAGTGGCGTATACCATACCGTTGCCGAACCAATACGGAGCCTGAAAATGTTGATACCGTGCAATGCCGCGGCCCCTCGGGAGTATCAAATCATTACCATGCCAATACCGAACCTGAATAGTCTGCACCATACCGGCGTCGAGTCTGTCCCGAACCTGAAAACTAATGCCAGTCCGCTGTATCGTGTCAACGCCGGACCGTGCCACCATGTCATAATAGTCCCGAACCTGCCCCAAGCCTGACTGTCGGGCCCGAACCAAACCAGCACCGCACAAAGTATAGTAAAGCCACACGATCCATCTCAAAATAATCCCAGTAACGATACTGCGTTGATCATCAAACGCACACCCACTCATATCACACAGGTTGCAGCGAGGCTAAGTCAGGTAACTTACGCAAACGATCCCGATTACCGGAAATTATAGAAAATCGTTAGATTTAGAGTAAATAAATAATCCGGGGGTAAATCCGATCGCAAATAATCTGATCAAAATTCAGTCGATTATTTAATAATCGTTGGTTTTCTTCCTTTTTATCATTTTTAATTATTTTCCTCATTTTTGATTTTAATATTAAAATTAATGAAATCCGAGGCTTCATTCCCGTGCCAGTTGCGCAGCATAAAAGGGACCACGCCTAGGCCTATTCTCATATCACCGTTCTGCGGCCAGTAGTTTCGGAAACAAGCTCGGAGCGRCGGAAATAAGATAGACGCCAGCGCGGTAGAAGAGGTAGTCTCTCTCGTCAATTCTGAGGGCTAGTATCACCGATCGACACCTCCAATCTTAGGGGTGCTCTGGGTCCCCCTAATTTTGCTGCCTGGTCAAACCAGAATACCGTCATTGCACGGACTTGTTCTTGTGCCTAAGTCCCAAGACTGCCACTTTCAGGCAGCCCATTACTTGTGGCCGCCTGACACCGTGCCAGTACACAAGACCGTTGTCCCCGAGACAGTAGTTCGGGACGGTCTTGCCACTCTGAAGGGTCGCGTGGATGTCGCGATAGTCGGGGCAGTGGCGGTACTTAGTGCGAAACTCGTCGATCACCGAGTGGTGGACGGTGGTGACCGAGATGGAAGAGAGCTGGATCTGCTCCTGGTCGTGGTCAGGGCATCGGGATAAGGCATCTGCGACCCGATTAGTCTCACCCTTGATGTGCTCAGTGGTGAAACTAAACTCGGATAGGTCTCGCCACCAACGAGCTTGTCGAGGAGTGAGCTTTGGTTTTGATAGAAAAGCCTGGACAACGGAGTTGTTCGTGCGTACCGTGAATGGTGCCCCGTGCAGGTAGTGATGCCAGTACCGAGTGACATAAACTACTGCGAGAACCTCACGTTCATCAGCAGTGTAGTTTATCTCGGCGGGCAGGAGCTGACGGGAGTAGAAGGCTATTGGACAATCACCTGAGTGAGACTCGACAGTGCCGTCCTCGACGATGGTAGGAAAATAGTAAATAGAAGGCTCGTCAGTAGCTGGACGAGTAGACGTCAGGCGGGAGGCAGTGGTAGGGGTAGGTGGTGGGAAGCGAGGGATACGAGGAGGAGAGAAATCAGTGGAGGAGGGAAATATCTGAGAAAGCACTGCTCCTACAGCAAAGTCTGACGCATCAGTGGTAAGGATAAAAGGGCGATTAAAATTGGGTAGGTGAATAACCGGTGCACATATCACCGGCTTCTTGAGGGCGCGGAAGGCGTCCTCGTAGGGGGTGTCCAAGCCCATGGCAGGTTCCTCCGGAGGAGGGTGGAGGTAAGGACATAGGAATACCTAGCGTATCCCTGGATGAAATTACTATAGTAGCTGGTAAGGCCTAGGAAACTGCAAAGCTGCTTGGCGGATATGGGGACGGGCCACTCCGCGATAGCAGTGATCTTCGCGTCGTCTATGTGGAGACCCTGGTCAGACACGTAGTGTCCAAAGAAATCCACTTTGTGCTGGGCAAAGCGACACTTGCTCAGCTTGGCGTAGAAGCCATGTCTTCACAAGCGGTCAAGGACGTCGCGGAGGTGTCTGAGGTGTTCCTCAAGGGCACGACTGTAGACTAGGATATCGTCAAGGTAGACAAGAACGTACTTCTCTAGGATGTCCCTGAAGATGTTGTTCATCGCCCTCCGGAAGGTAGCGGGTGCGTTGGTGAGGCCGAATGACATCACCGTAAACTCGCAGTGGCTGAAATGCGATCGGAACGTTGTTTCAGTTGGTCTGCTGCAGCGACGCGGATCTGATGGTAACCGCTACGAAGATCAATCTTCGTAAAGAAGCGGTTGCCTGCTAGGCGGTCGAACAACTCGTCGGAACGAGGCATGGGGTAACAGTTCTGAACCGTGTTGCGGTTGAGACCGCGATAGTCGATGTAGAGACGGAGAGTTTCATCCGCTTGACGAGCAAAGAGGATGGGTGCACCCCACGGGGAGTTGCTGGGTTTAATGAAACCCAGTCTCAGGAGCTCCTCAAGCTGACGCTTGAGTTCAGTGGCCTCGAGGATCGAGAGTCTGTAGGGTGTCTGGTGGTGAACACGATAGTCAGGCACAAGCTGGATGGAGTGCCCGACGTCGCGCATCGGTGGGATGCCGACGTACAAGAACGACGACGGAAAAACGTCGTGGTACTCTCGAATGAGGTCACGAACTGCAGGCTCCAGGTCAACCGTATATCGTGCGAGTTCCTCAGCGTCAGCGTCAGCGAGTGACGGCGGGGTGGACTCTACGGACAACGGAGGGTGGGAAGTAGAGATGGGAGCGATGAAGATAGAAGGAGGATCTGGCTCCAGAGGGATGAGCTTGGCGTTGGGACAGGGTGGATCATTGTGTAAGAGATCCGTCACGTTCACCATAAAGAAGGTGACATCGTCCTGTCGGATGAAGTAGGCGAGCTGCCGAGGCGAGGTGACAATGATAGAAGGAGGTGGTGTGGGCACGGAAGGCTCCAGCGGAGGGGGATCGGGGCGTGGTGTCGCAGTGGTACCTATGAAAGGTACGCGATACGTCTGTCCACACTTCGTTTTGAGAACGAGAGTACACTCTGTCGGGTCCTGCGAGACCTCAACTCCAGTAGAGAGAGGGGCAAACCGCGACGGGGATGTCGGGAAGTCGACTACTGAGGAGGGCACAGGTGTACACTGCACCGTGGCTAGGAGGCGCCGCGGGGATGCGAGGCATCGGGGGGGGACTGAGTCGACGCTGGCAGGAAAGGTCAGCGTAGTGGCGGTCGAGGGCGGTAGTGTAAGGGCACCACGAGGAGGTATGACCGTCCTGGCAGCATCGCAAACACCCACGCCGGCCCAAAATGGCCGCGCGCTCCTCAACGGAAAGGACACCGCGATGAGGGACAAAGCCCTAAGGGAGGTCCTGCTGAGGGACCTCGGGAGGCGACGCGCCAGCGTGACTGAGGCGGCTGCGTGCCCGGGAGAGGGCGGAGAGGATGAGCTGGAGGCGCTCGGCCATAGGGAGGGTAGTGTCCTCCAGGTGGTAGTGGACGGCCTCGCCGAGGTGGAGGTCGTCGCTATGGTCACCCTCTGGCGACAACGGGGCAACAACGTCCTGCTCACCATACTCGAGCGCGTTGAAGCGGCGCGAGAAGTGGTGGCCCTGTGGCGCGGAACGACGGGGGCGACCGTGAAAAGGGGAACGGCGCTGGGAAGTGCCGTGAGAGGCGGAGGAGGCATAGGCAGTGCGCTGAGGCTGGGAAGAGGAGGCGGGGTGAAGACGGGTCTGCATCCGCTGATGGTCCCTGGCGGCCTCGTAAGCCTGCGGGGCCGATGTGAAGTCGTACATCCATAGCTCGGAGCGGTACTCAAGAGGAAGGCTGGCCAAGGAACGATCGATAAGGGCAGCCTCGGAAAGGAACGCCACATCACAAATGAGGCGGGCGTCCTGAAAGGAGAGAAGGTTAACGGAGATCCTAATTTTCAGACCACTTGCCATGCCATTTGTATGAAAACCAAAGGGTAATTTTAATCAAACTTGCCATTAATTCGTAGAATGGAGACCATACCAACTAACTGCAAAGAAAAATCCAAAAACAAATAATAAAAAACATATAAAACAGCAAGGCAAAAATGCATTTTCATGTTTTGGACTCGTTACCCAGGGCCTGAAAATGGGGGTCCCCGTTAACCATTTGTGGCTGAAAGACCTGGATGTGGCGATCTAGGCCGGCAGCGCCAGCGGACTCGGACCAGCGTGTAGTGACGACACGCTCGAAGGCGTCAGTCACGTCGTGTCGGGCTCCGAAGCGATCCTCGAGGAACGCCTGAAAATCCATGAAGGTCGGAGTCCGACCCGCATGAAGGGAGTAAGCGTAGAAATCCTTCCAGGCGTGAAAAGGACTCCCACGCAGGCGCATGGAGAGGTGACCCACCCACGTGTCGGGTAGGGCGCCCATAAGCTAGAGGGTGCGGGTGGCAGACCGTAGCCACCGAGACACGCGTATGCCTGTACCGTCATACAAAGCAATGTCCGTCAAGCGGACGAGTGGTGCGCCACCGTTTTGGCGGCGAGGGGATCGAGGAGCAGAGGCCTGTGCTACGGCTGAGTAAGTCGGCGCAGATCCTTGAGAAAGGGGCACATCTGACTGTGCGCCCGGGCCGCATACGGGAGCGGTGGGGGCACAGCTGCAGGCTGCGAGGGAGCTGCGGTAGAAGAGGTCGCAGCAACCGCGGGAATATGAAGAAGGTAGGATGGGGCTGGATAGGGTGCAGGGCGAGGGAAGCGAGCCTGCATGGAAGAAAGGGTAGAGGAAGGAGGGGGTGCACCCGAAGGCGCGGCCAACTGTGAGGGTGGGGGTGGCTGAAGGCGTAAGAGGGCGAGGTCGGCCCGAATCTGGGCAAGCTCGTCCTCGAGACGTTAGACGTAGATCGAGCGAGGAGTGGCAGGAGGAAGAGTGGAGGAAGTGGACGCACGAGCGGCGTGGGACATCCCAGAGGGGAGAGAGCCAGGTGGTGTTGCGGTCGTGCGAAGGGGAGAGAGAAGCGGGGCACCCGGAAAAGCTGAGACCATGGTAGCGGGTTGTGGTCTCGTGGCCGTAGTGACCAGAATTTGGGTGGGTGCGCCCGTAGACTGAGGGAGGGCCTGGCCCGTGGCGGCCGTCGTGCTAGGGGCGTGGACGGTCACCAAGATGGCCGGGTCGGGGGTAGCAGAGGAGGAAGCTCCACCGTGGCCACCCTGTCGGAGGACTGGGGACTCCGACCGGGAGCCAGGAGAAGGACAGGCAGCGTCCTGGAGTTGCTGCATGCCGGCGGCAAGGGTCGCCACCTGCGCCTGTAAGGGCGCGAGGATCGCGAGTTGTGCCTGAATGGGCGCGGGGAGGGAAATGAGGAGGGTGTGCAGATCCCCCTGGGGCTGATGGCTCTGGTCCGTCGGCACTGGTGGAGCCGGTGCCGTGGTCGTCGCCTCGTCGGCGGCGTGTGACACACCGTCGGCCATGGGGAGGTGACGGGCCGGACTGGAGGGGGCCAAGGGAGGTCCACGTGAGCGGAGGGCATAGGGGGGGGTCCGCGGTAGAAAGCGGCGGACGGCGCTAGCAAGGCTAGCGCGGGCGTCGTTAAAGGGGGAGGGGTGGTTCGGGTCCAAGGTGCCCGAAGAGAAAGGGGAAGTAGGGGGGGGGTTGAAGAATCTTAAACCCTAGAAAAACCCTAAGAAAACCCTAACCGAAGTTTGAGTGGTTAGGGTAGGGTACCGGTGACCTAATCAAGAAAATAAAATAGCAAGCATAGGGGGGGAAGGTGGGAGAAAAATAAATAAAAACAGCGAGATTTCAAGAGAAAAATAAAAATAAATAACGAAATAAATAAATAATAAAATAATTAAAGAAATAAGGAAATAAAATATGAAGAGAGAAATAATATTTATTTTTTTAGAATTTTCGGCAGCATTTCCCTACCCCCCATGGGGTCAAGAATGTGCCAAGGGGAAAGGAGAGACCAAGATAAACACACTAGGTTTTCAATTGCCGCAAATTAAAAATTTCAGAAAATAAATAAATAAATAATAAATAAATAGATAAATAAATAAATAAGTAAATAATTGGATGAGGAGGTGGAGAAAAATGAAGTATCTGATTTTTAAAAAAATTCAGCAGCATTTCGTTACCCCCATGGGGTCGAAGTGTGCCGAAAAGACTAAGTGAAAGAAAAAATAGAAAATTTCGGCAACACTTCGTTACCCCCACGGGGTCAAAACGTGTCCCGAAAGCAAGAAAGACTAACACCTAATCAGATTTAAGGTTGCCGCAAAGAAAATCGAATTTTCAGAATAAAGAAAAGAAAATGAAATAAATCATAAAATAAGAAAAGAGGGTGGGGAATAAGATAATCCGATTTGTTTTTGTTTTTTCTTGAAAAAGAGAGGAAATATAAATCAAGAGGAGATAAAAAGAAGAAAAAAGGAAAAACAGAAAATTTCGAAGTTAGGGGGAAGGGGGATGAAAAGGTGAAGGAGAGAAGAGAGAAATGGGTGGGAGAGAGAAAAAGAGTGAAGGGGGAGAGGAGGGTGAGGGAATGAGAGGGATAGGGATGGGAAAGGTGGAKAGGGATCAAGAAGCAAAGAGAGAAGAGGAGAAATA